AGGACCCGCCCCCGCCCTCGGTGCAGGGACCCGGGTCGCTCTGCCAGGCTGCCCCGCCGCCCCGCTTCGGTCTCGGAAGCTGGGAGGAGCGGCTATGCGGCCTCGGGGACAACAACATCTGCCAGCGTCTTCGTGACCCTCTACCGGGTTGTCCAAACGCTGACGTGGAACGTGACCAGTTCTGAATCCTCATGGAGAAGTTTGGGATGAATTTCGGGGGTGGCCCGAGCAGAAGGGACCTGCTGGAGACCATTGAGAGCCAGAAGCAGCAGCTCAGCCAGTACCAGACTCGGCTCAAGGATGTGGTCCGCGCCTATAAAAGCCTCCTGAAGGAGAAAGAGGCGCTGGAGGCCAGCATCAAGGTGCTGTCGGTATCCCACGAGACGGACGTGGGCCTCGCCGGCGTCCAGCCGCCAGGCCACACCTCTCCGGACTGCGTGGATGACCGATGCTCCACGCACAGCGAGGATAGCACGGGGACCGCCACCAGCTTGGATACCACGGCCAGCCTCGCTAGCACCAAGGGAGAGCTTGGGGCAGAAGATGACAGACCGGCCCGTGGACCACCACCTCCAAAGTCCGAAGAGGCGAGTGGGTCAGAGAGCGGTGTTAGCAGCAGCAGCGGGGACGGACAGCCTGCGGGTGGGGAGGTGGACAAACGACTGCACCAGCTGAAGACCCAGTTGGCCACTTTGACTAGCTCTTTGGCCACGGTCACCCAGGAGAAGTCCCGCATGGAAGCTTCTTACCTGGCTGACAAGAAGAAGATGAAACAGGACTTAGAGGATGCCAGCAAAAAGGCAGAGGAGGAGAGGGAGCGTCTGGAGGGAGAACTGAAGGAGCTGCAGGAGCAGATGGCAGAAACCAAAGCCCGCCTTATCACACAGCAGCACGATCGGGCCCAAGAGCAGAGCAACCATGCCTTGATGCTGCGTGAGCTCCAGAAGCTGCTGCAGGAGGAGAGAACCCAGCGCCAGGACTTGGAGCTTCGTTTGGAAGAGGCCCGAGAAGCCCTGGCCGGGCGGGCATATGCTGCTGGTCAGGTGGAAGGGTTTGAACTGCAGGCTAAACAGCTGACCCGGGAGGTGGAGGCGCTCAAAGGTGAGCTGCAGGCTCTTCGAGATGAGAAGAATCGGCCAGACCCCCGCCTGCAGGAGCTTCAGGAAGAGGCCGCCTGCCTTAAGAGCCATTTCCAGGCCCAGTTGCAGCAGGAAATGAGGAAGGTAATGATCTTCATCTGTCCTTCAATCATTTAGCCTGAAGTGGGAAATATTAAGGCTTTTTTTTCTCCTTTGCTAGTGGCTGTACTTTCAGTTTTTGATGCTGTTGGAAAAGTTTTATTTGCGAGTCCTGGGAATTCCTGTTCTGTGTGGTGTTGACAGTGTCCACAGAGTGTGCTTCCAACAGGATGTGGATGGAGCTGCTGAGTGTCAGCTGGGTTGGAGCCAGACAGCTCTGAATTTCTGGGCATTGGCATCTTACCAGCTGTGCTCTGTGAAGCGTATCGTAGCAGCTGTGCAATGAAAGGTAGTATATGCCTACGTGTAGGTAGCAGTATATGCCTACAGGGAGGGTGGCTGAAGGGGGCAACGGGAATTTTCTTTGAAGAAATAACCTCTTGTAATTGCTTTCAGTCAAGATTTGCCTTTAAAGATTTGCCTTTACAGTGCCTCTGTTCAGTGTGGAGAGAGATCCAACTCAGTTTTGAACCTCCTAGGAATATTGAAGAGGAAAAAAATGTCCCCTGATTTCTTTTCTTTTTTTAAAATATATTCTTATTCATTTCAGAAAGGAAGGGAGAGGGAGAGAGATAGAAACATCAATGATGACAAAGAATCATTGATTGGCTGCCTCCTGCATGCCCCCCTCCCTCTACTGGGGATTGAGCTCGCAACCCGGGCACATGCCCTTGACCAGAATCAAACCCTGGACCCTTTAGTCTGCAGGCTGATGCTCTACCCACTGAGCCAACTGGCCAGGGCATCACCTGATTTCTTAATAGGATTTGGGGACGTACAAGATAGACAAGGATAACATACTGAATATGTGAGTTCAGTGTGTAATGGGAGAGAGTGGAAGCACTACAGCAGAATAAGGACTGATATACAGAGGTTTTTTATATTGTTTGGTATAACTTGTGATTGGGAGCAGAACTGTAGCAGGTTACAGGAACTTTTGTGAGCTCCCAAATCAACAGAAAAATCCCCAGTTCCCATTCCTGTCAGGTCAGTCCCCGACCTCTTGCTCCCTTATCTTGCTTTCTCAAAGTTTGCCATAGAGTTTCGTGGCTTTTCTGGATGGATTTCTTATCTGTTCCCTTGTTTTACAGACAGCCCTTGCAGAGGATCAACTACGCCAGCAATCTCAGCTGGAAGAGCAGAGGGTGGCAGCCCTGGAGAACCAAATATCCGAGGTGTCGGAGCTGCTGGGCACCTATGAGAAAACCAAGCAGAAGGACCAGCTGGCCATCCAGAAGCTGAAGGAGCGCATTCTGCAGCTGGACCTGGAGAACAAGACGCTGGCTCTTGCAGTCTCTAGCCGGTCCCCTCTAGACAGCCATGCCGAAGAGTCCAGTCTGGATGTCAATGTCCTGAAGGACAAGATGGAGAAGCTGAAGAGGCTACTGCAGGTGGCGGCCAGGAAAAGCCAGGTGACCTTGGATGTAGAGAAGCTCTGCAACCTGGAGATAATGCCCAGCTC